TCTCTAAAGCCCCTCTAGCTACTTCATGGGTATAGACCTCTCACAGGAGAACGGTAGCTGTGTGAGTCATACATTGTAAGTGATGTAACGACAGAAGAAAAGTCCCTGAAAGGTTGACTATCTCATTCACATTACATTTTAGTCATTTAGCAGACGCTGTTATCCAGAGCGACTTACACTTAGTGAGTGCATACATTTTCATACTGGCCCCCTGTGGGAAACGAACCCACAACACTGGCGTTGCAAGCGCCATGCTCTACCAACTGAGCTACAGGGGACTATCACTTTGATGTCTTCAATGTCTTTTGAAGTAAAATCGAAAGACAAAAGGAGCGTTTTTCTTTTTCCAGCCTTGAAACAGAGTTATTTTTATTTATCCTCTTTTTACATCCTCTGTAATCTGCTCTTCAGGACTGATTACAAACTCGATAATACAATTTGAAGGATTATCAGATTACGGAGATGAATCAAAATAGCTTCACTGCCTGAATGCATTGTACAGTTAAAAGACAATGCACATCATTGTCACTCATGAGTGTATAAGGTCCTCTTTGATCATGTTATGCTTTGCTGCACAGTATCAGTGCGTTCAATGCATACGGATTGTTTGGGTAGGTCAGCCAAGGAAACTACTTTTAAGAGGTTTTGTGTCTGCACATAAGCTTCGGTAACACTTTGTTTGGATAGTCCTACACTGCCTATTCAAACTCAGTGAAGACCCCAGGCCAGGTTTAGTGTGCGGACAAGTTTAGATTGACTGACTTGAGGTTATATCCAGTCAGGGAACACTACAGTAAGAAGAGGGTAAACACGTTGCTATGCCAACGCACTGTGAACAGTATTGCTGTGTTTGAGTTGTAGACAAAGCATCCATGGAAGAACCCTTCTGCTTCAACTCTCCTTTTATTCACACTTGGTGACATTTGGTATGATACTGCCAAGCACTGAAATATTCAGTCTCATAGGTGTAAAAGAGGTAAATGTGCTTTCATATGGGACGAGGGCTTGGTTGTATGTGTGGGAACTTCAACTGACATTTATCTAATTATGTTGAATTGGGTGGACCTAAATTACTTTCGAGTTATGCACATGTGGATATTTCTTGTGCACAAGTTTTGTAATTGCCACCAGTTGGAGACTTTGTAAACAACTTCATGATTCGTCAATTATTTGAACACTTAAGTGATTACGAAAGAGGAAAAAATGATCAGGGAAGCAACTACTTCAGATTACCACTGACTTTCCACTGATCCCTGAACTAGGAGGACCTGGCGGTTTCTATTCCCGTCCATGCTGACGTAGCAGCAAGACGAAGAGACAGGGGACGTAGAGGACAGGAGGCTACAGGTCTCAGAGACACATGGTCTCAGTGTGAAGTGATGGCCCCTGGCCAGCTTCCCTCAGCTCTTCCCTCAGCTCCCCAGTGAACTGAGAAACGCACCGACAGCGAACATACCCAGGACCCCAGCACTGCACTGGCAGGGTGTTACCAATGCAGTGAAATGCCATTTGGACTGTGAAACACACCAGGGGGGATCTGCGTCAGTGGAAAAGGACAAGCAGAGCAGCACTGCTGTCATCCACTAATGGAAGACCCCCTGTTGTGAAAATGACAGAGGCGTTATTCACTTAGCTGACCAGTATCTTTGCCTGATCTATCCCCCCTCATTTTGTTGACAGTAAAAGGAGTAGGCATTTACACAACTTGGTCTCAGAGCATTTCGTATTATTTCGTATGTAAATCCGAGATTCTCGATTTTAATATGATATGATACATTTCGTATAGTATGTATTAATTTGTGGACGTCCATCACACATTTCGTATGATATGTTATGAATTACAATTTGTATTATATGTATATGTTCTAAATGTATGATATGTAAAAAATTATAGCTAGGTGGCTAGGGGTTAGGGTTAGGGTTAAGTTTAGGAGTTAGGTTAAAGAGTTAAGGTTAGGGTTAGGGGAAGGGTTAGCTACAAGGGTTAAGGTTAGAGTTAGGGGAAGGGGAAGGGTTAGCTAACATCCTAAGTAGTTGCAAAGTAGCTAAACAGTAGTAAAAAGTTTATAATAAGTTAAAAAGCAAAAGTTATCTGTGATAATATTCGAACTCGCAACCTTTGAGTTGCTAGACGTTCCCATTATATATCTACCCATCCACCCTGACCAACCACCTTCCTTTCGTTTTTGCCTTAAGTAACCATCTGTCTTATGTAACCAAACGTAACATATCATACTAAACGGAGTGTCTCAGATTTACGTACAGAATAATATGAAATGCTCTGAGACCAGGTTGGTTAGCAGCAAAATGCCCATGACGTTGTAATAGTTCGTTCACAGTGGGGAAGGGGTTTGACGGAGGATAGTAACCATCCTTGTGTAATTAAACATCTCCTTCAGGCTGTGTAAAATTACTCTCGAATCCCACTGCTTTGGCTTTAAAATGGTGTCCATTTCAAAGGATCAGTAGTAACTGCAAATGAAGGGAATGGACTTAAACAGTCTCCGCTGTGAAAGTGCCTCAATTAAAGCATGAAACAAAAATAATGTGCATAGTGAAGATACAGGACTCCATGGGGAGAGGGAAATGAACCAAGAGATAGGCCAGTAAGATGAGAGGAACTTTGGTGATGTGGGAAGGGGTTTGCTGTCAACCCTACTATACCACTAGGCCCTTGAGATCACATGTAGTAAGGATCCACTCAGCACAGAGCCCTGGGCTGTACAGTAGCTCAAACCCCCTCAAAGCTGTGAAACTATTCATATAATCAAGTGTAAGACATAAACCACTGTTCTCACTTGGAACAAACGTGGCGGAACTTTGGATCCCAAAGCAGCTGCTCACCAGTTTCATAGTGCGCATCCTAGTGTGACAGCTGGAGTGGTGCCTGGCAGTGATTGTCACAGCTCACCTGGCGCTGGCTGGCATCAATGCATCAGAAGAAAAGCTGTCTAGCCTAGTGCCAGTCAATGTTTCAGCATGGCCTGATTTTTTATGAACTTTGCTTGAGCCCACTCCATTAGAGCCAGTTTGCAGAGGTCCAGTTCAAACATGTTGTTAAAGACCTGCGTTACCTCCTGCTGAAAAGGTCAAGTCCAATAGCCCGTTACTGAGCCAGCAGATGCACTAACCAATCACACAGATAGCTGACTTGGCTCTAGTGTAAACGAGTGATGTTTGTTCGTCAACGTATTCGACATTGGGGGATTAAATAATACTTATTAATGGCTCAACAGACACTGTTTCTGCTATCTGGGTTAATGGTGTATAATGTAATATGCATGAATAGAAATTGAATGAAAGAACCAGTCAATACTCTTTTATACCGATACGGAATCACTTTATCTGGTAATGCACAATAGCAGAAGTGTGGTATGTCACAAGGGGCATAATCTTTCTCTTGTTTACCAAGGCTGGAACTTGCTATAAGCCTAAATATATAAAAAAGCCAAGGAAGGGACAACTCCGAAAATCTCTCTGTTGAGTAAACTGAACTCACATGTTCATCATCTCATTCTGATGGAAGATTAGTGATTCAGAAAATCTCTGACTTTTAATTATTGGATTTCTGCCACATAACACACAAGGGAATAGTTAGCCCAGATATGACCTTTTTATATATAAATAATACAACCCTTCACAAATACACATAGACCAAGCTGGGACCTCGGTTGCCATTTTTCGGCTGCCCACGAGACCTGCACATGTGTGTTTTTGTTGTTTACCAGTGTGTACCTGTTCTGGGAGGCTCTGGGGTGAGGGGTCATGGGAGGCTTCAGCCTGAACTGGTGGTGTCTTCAATCGGCTTGTTGCAGTGGAATCCCCGTCATAGTTCAACAGCAGGTGACTGCTACTCAAACTGAAAATGTAAATGTCATTGAGCTTTACAAAGTACTGAGTTACGCCTGCTTTGTCTGCACTTCCTCTCCCCTCCCGGTCTCACTTACAGACAAACTTACAGAAAACTTAAGTAAAAACACTATGAAGTATTACTTAAGTAGTTTTCTTGGTTATCTGTACTTTACTATTTATATTTTTGACAACTTTTACTTTTACTCCATACATTATCCCTGACACCCAAAAGTACTCGTTCCATTTTGAATGCTTAGCAGGACAGGAAAATTATCAAATTCACACACTTATGAAGATAACATCCCTGGTCATCCCTACTGCCTCTGATCTGGCGGACTCACTAAACACAAATGCTTTGTTTGTAAATTATTGTGCCGCTGGCTATCGGTAAATAAATAAAAAAACAAGAACATGGTGCCGTCTGGTTTGCTTAATATAAGGAATTTTAAATGATTTATAATTTTAATTTTACTTTTGATACTTAAGTATATTTGAGCAATTACACTTACTTTTGATACTTAAGTATATTTAAAACCAAATACTTTTAGACTTTTACTCAAGTAGTATTTTACTGGGTGACTTTCACTTTTACTTGAGTCATTTTCTATTAAGGTATCTTTACTTTTACTTAAGTATGACAATTGGATACTTATCCACCACTGCAAACTTACATACAGTATATACACATGCACACACACACACACACACACACAAACCTGGGTTCCCTATTGATTACTATTGCCATGACAAACTGGAAACGATTAGGTGATTTCGGTACACCCAGATATCCATGTTAACAATTTCAAAATCAGAATTTCAACCAAAAGGGTACATCAATGACAATGTATTATTCAAGTAGCTATGATGTATTATGCATTGGTGCTTGTGCCTAGTGTTGTATTTGAGTAGTAGATGATACAGAATAGGACGGAAGAGAATAGAACATCCCATAGAACATGTCAAAAATAGAACAACGGTGTAGAACAAAACATCTCTGATGAGTTCTAGGTGGGAATACTTATGTAGCACTGCATGTTGTGGATCGACTATGGTTGTTAATATGCATAATATCCTATTCTGGTAAACAGCTTTAGTTATATACATGGTATTTAGCTCAGCTGCAGCCTCATTGGTGTGGTTTGAAAAGCATGTTCTGGTAGGACTGCTCTGGGATTGAATGGTCTTTGTTTGACCACACTTGTGACCATGGCCCCATATTTACCCAGCCCAGTGTGGCTTTAAACACTGCACTGCACCACACTCCAGTTCTTTTCCACAGTCCCCTTTAACTTCATGTGAAAGAATCTGTTATTCTGCAGATTCCTGCTGCTCAGCTTGGTGGTTAGAGCGTGGAGGCTGGAGTTGGAAGTAAGAACGAGAAGTGTGTCTGATTTTGAAAATGTAACAATGGTTCTGTTGACAGAGATTTGAACTTCGACTCAGCATAGAGAGGAGAAATCAAGTGTTTGTGTGTGTGTGTGTGTGTGTGTGTGTGTGTGTGTGTGGATGTGTTTAACTATTCTTGTGGGGACCAGAAGTCCCCACAAGAATAGTAAACTTGCAAAAATTTGACCAACTGGGGACATTTTGTTAGTCCCCATGATGTCAAATGCTATTCTAGGGGGTTTAGGGTTAAGGTTAGAATTGGTGTTAGGGTTAGAATTACGTTAAGGGTTAGGGTTAGATTTAGGGTTAGGGTTAGCATTCGTGTGCTGGTTGAGAGAATGGTTGAGAGAATGCCAAGAGTGTGCAAAGCTGTCATCAAGGCAAAGGGTGGCTACTTTGAAGATTCTAAAATATAACATCTATTTTTATATTGTTTAACACTTTTTTGGTTACTACATGATTCCATATGTGTTATTTCATAGTTTTGATGTTTTCACTATTATTCTACAATGTAGAAAATAGTAAAAATAAAGAAAAGCCCTTGAATGAGTAGGTGTGTCCAAACCCTTGACTGATACTGAATATATAAAGAAGGAAATCAGCCCTCGGCTGAATCTAATTGATGATCTCTGACGTATAGTGCCATATGTCTTGCCTGGTCGTACAATAGCATATGAAGCATATGAACGTTATCATAGGTCTTGGAGGACGTATAGTATTATACGTATTTTCTCTAAAACCAGGTTGCTTGTTGCGTCTTATCAACAAAGGAGAATTACGGGGAGAATTTACGTTGGTGGTTAGGTGAACTAAAGCGACAAAGGTTAGGTGAATTTACATAGCAGGTTAGTTGAATTGGGTTAAGTTTAGAATAAGGGTTAGTGGAGGGTTAACTAAAATGCTACAGTTTTCCCCGACACCACTCGAACACTCAACCTTTGGATTGCTAGACAGTTATGCATTACACGTACCCATCCTCCCTGACCAACCTCCCTACTTTTGTTTCAGTCTGAAGTAGCCAGACCAGTAGTAGGTATCATACGTCTTGGAGGTGCTCAGAAATATGTAAAGTATGCTTCGTATGGCTCTGAGGCCAGGCTGGTGTGTGTGCATGTCAATTCATCATTCTGAACCTCAGCATGTAGCCTGGGACCCCCTACAGAGAAGCTTGTCTCTCCCAATCACCACTTCATTTAGATAAGGGCTGCAATGCTGCTGGTGGTGTGGGTGTGTTTGATAATTTAGTATGTAGAATTTCTCTTATCATTCATGGAGCTAGGCAACAGCTTGACTGTGGTGGCATATTCTCAATAGAGATAGATAAAGTCCTGGTCAAAAGTAGTGCACTATAAAGGGAATAGGGTGCCAATTAGGATGCAAGCCAGAACCTTGGAACCTCAGTCCTTCCCCTAAAGACATCTAGCCACTGTCCATCTTTGCCAGTCATGTCATGTCATGTCACCTCTATTGATGCGTGATGACATCAACCCACAGACAGCAAGAGAGACTGTCTTCTAGAGACTCGAAACAACTGAGGTGACTATTTTCCTTACAGTTCATGTCTACCACTGTAAAACGCTTGTAAAAGTTTGACAGAAAGAGGTTTGTTAGGATTTGGGAGTGTTTTATTCTCTTGAAGGCAAAAAGGGCACTTACTGAAAATATAATATATCCCATTTAGCAGATGCTTTTAACCAAAGCGACTTACAGTCGTCCTTGTATACATTTGGCGTATGGGTGGTCCCAGCGCCATTGAACCCTCAACCCTTGGTGTTGCAAGCGCCATGCTCTACTGACTGAGTCACATAGAATCACTGTGTGAACTGAAGTTACTGAAGCATCATATCTTGTTCTCCCTCATATTGTTTTATACCCTGTATCTTGGTAGTGTGCTTACAGTCAATACTCCCCAATGAATAAACCGTACCTTGGGCAGTCTGGCACATCCAAGAAACACTGTAAATAGGCTTAGGCCCCTGAGAAGAGGATCGCAAATTGAGTTTCTTGTTCTTTTCATAATGTGCCTTCACTTTGTCCTCCCTTCTCCCACTTTCTCATAATATTTCGCTCTGTCACTTTTCTAAAAACAAAAGTTGAAATTGCCTGTATAATGACATGAATTGCCTTATTATTATTCAAATTAAAATGAAAAGAATAATGCTAAAGTTCATTTTCAGGCCAGTCTTTTGCTCTCACACAGCACCACACAGCACGGAGCTCCATCCAAGCCTTGTATTGCATTCCTCTTCAGGGCTATTCTGTTTCCCTTTTTTACCTACATTGATATGCAGAGGCAAATAAATCAAAGAATCGCTTTGTTGCCTCTAATATCCTCATTTGTTCTTTTGAAGCCTGCACTTTAAAATAAATTAATTTGCACGCTCTAACGCGATCCCTCAGAGGCACTTTTCTGTGGAGAGCTGTGACGACCAGTATGCATGTGTGCATGTGTGTGTGTGCCTTTCAAGGTGTGTTTTATATAAGATAATCCTTCTGAAAGTATGTGTGTGTCTCTGCCATGCCTGATACTCTGTCAACAAGAGACTGTCTACATACACTCGCCAAAAAGAAACATTCTGGAACCTCAACCTCCTCAGTGTTTTGATTTCAGATTAAAAGGGACATTTCCTGTACGACACACACCATATATTTTGGGTTTATGTGAGTTCCTGTACTGTATATAGGTCGCAGATGTCTTTAATCCTTTAATTTAATAGGAGTATTGATGTGTCATGCTGAAGAAGACCTCGAGTCTGCTCAAATGATCACTGGAAACTCGGGAGTCACCTTGAAATGAACCGTCTGGCGCCGGTGGAGAGCCTGCCCCGGGAAATTTTATCAGGTTGAGAAGAATAGGGTGCGTGCGTAGGCAGGAATCACTGGAAACAACCCCAGTGCACAGGAAAAAATTTTTTTTTTCCCCCCCCCCCTTTTTTTTAAAAACCCCCCCCCCCAAAAAACCCCCTTTAAACCCCGAAAATAAATTTTAAAAAAAAAAAAAGGGGGGCCCCCCCCAAAAAAAAAAAAAACCCCCCTTTCCTTTTTTTTTTAAAAAAAACCCCCCCGGGGGGGTTTTTCCCCAAGGGGGCATTTTTAAAAAAAATTTTTTTTTTTTTTTTTAAAAAAAAAAAAAAAAAAAATTTTGGCCTTTTTTTAAGGGGGGGAAAAAAAAATTTTTTTCCCCCCCCGGGGGGGTTTTTTTTTTTTGGGTTTTTTTGGGGGGGGGTTTTTTTTTTGGTCCCCTTTTTTTTGTTTTTGGAAACCCCTTTCTTTTTTTTTTTCCCCCTTTAAAAAAAACCCCCAAAAAAAAAAAAATTTTTTTAAAAAAAAAAAAAATTTTTTAAAAAAAAAAAAAAGGGGGGGGGAAAAAGGGGGGAAAAGGGGGGGGGGGCCCAAAAGGGGGGGGGGGGAAAAAAAAGGGGGTTTGGGGTAAAAAAAAAATTTTAAAAAGAAAAAAAAGGAAAGGCAATTAATTTAATTTTTAAAAAAAGGCCCCTTTTAAAAAAATTGGGGGGGGGAGAGCCCTGCCCAGGAATTTTTTTTTAAAAAAAGAAGGGTGGGGGGGCCCAAAAAAAACCCCCCCGGGGGGGGGGAAATTAAAACCCCCCCCTTTCCAAAAAAAAAAAAAAAAAAAAAAAAAAAAAAAGGGGGAAAAAAAAAAAGGGGAAAAAAAGGGGAAAAACCCCCCTAAACCCCCCCCCCCGGGGGCCCCCCCCCCCCCCTTTTTTAAAAAAAATTTTTTTTTTAAAAAAGGGGCCCCAAACCCCCCGGTTTTTTTTAAGGCCCAAAAACCCCCCCCCTTTTCCCCTTTTTTGGGGTTTTTTGGGGGGCCCCCGGGGAAAAATTTGGGGTTTTGGGGAAAAAAAAAACCCCCAAGGGAATTAAATAAAAAATTTTTTGGGGGGGAAAAAAAAAACCCCGGGGGGGGAAAAAACCCCCAAACCCCCCCTTTTCCCCTTTTTTTGGGGGGGGGGGGGAAAAAAAAAAAAAATTTTTTTGGGGTAAAAAGGGGGGTTTTTTTTCCCCCCGGGGGGGGGGGGGGCCCTCCCCCCCCCTTTTTTTGGGGGGGTTTCCCCGAAAAAAAAAATTTTTAAAAAAAAAGAAAAAATTTTTTTTTTTTAAAAAGGGGGGAAAAAAGGGGGGGGGGGGTTTTTTTGGGGTTCCCAAAAAAAGGGGTTTGGCCCAAAAAAGGGGGTTTAAAAAAAAAAAATTTTTTTTTTTTGGGCCTTTTTTTAAATTTTTTTTCCCCCCTTTTTTTGGGGGCCCCCCCCCAAAAAAAAAAGGGAAAAACGGGCCTTTAAAAAAAAAAAAATTTTTTTTTTTAAAATTGGAAAGGGTTTTTAAAAAAGGGGGGTTTGGAAAAAAATTTTTTTAAAAAAAACCCCCCCCTTTTTTTTTTCCCCCTTGGGGGAAAAAATTTTTTAAAGGGGAAAAAAGGTTAAAAAGGGTTTTTCCCCCCCAAAAATTTTGGGGTTTTTTAAATTTTTTTTTTTTCCAAAAAAAAAAAAACCCCCCCCAACCCTTTTTAAATTTAAAAACCCCCCCCCCCAAAAAGGGGGGCCCCTTTTCAAAAGGGGGTTTTTTTTTTTCCCCGGGTTTTGGGGCCCCCCCCCTTTTTTTTTTTTTAAAAAAAACCCCCCAAAAAAACCCCCTTTTCCCCCCCCCAACCCCCCTTTTTTTTTGGGGGGAAAAAAAGGGGGAAAATTTTTAAAAACCCCCCCCTTTTGGGGAAATTTTAAAATTCCTTTTAAAACCCCCCTTTTGGGGGGTTTTTTTTTTTTGGGGGGGGGTTTTTTTTTTTTTTAAAAAAAAATTTTTCCCCCCCGGGGCCCTTCTTTCTTCCCCCTTTCCCCCTTTTTTCCCCCCCCCGGGTTTTTTCCCCCTTTTTTCCCTTTTTTTTTTTAAAAAACCCGGGGCCCTTTGGCCCCAAAAAAAAGGGGGGCCCCCTTTAGGCCCCCCCCCAAATTTTTTTGGGTTTTAAAAAAAATTTGGGGAAAAGGGGGTTTTTTTCCCCCCAAAAAAAAACCCCCCCCCAAAAAAAACCAAAAGGGGGGAAGGGGGGGTTGGGGGGGGGGTTTTTTTTTTTTTTTAAAAATTTTTAAAAAAAAAAAAAAAAGGGGGGATTTTTTCCCAAATGCCTCGCAAAAAAGGCCCCTTTTGGTAAAATTAAAAGGCAAATAACTTTAAGAGATCAAGTATTAAAGGAAAACCCCCCCAAAAAAACTACATTTTGGGGTATTTTTTCCCCTTATCCTTGTTGAGAAAATGCTCCCCCCGGCATATTCTGTATTTTAAAAATTTAGATACAGTACCAGTCAAAAGTTTAGACACACCTATTCACTCAAGGGTTTTTCTTTATTTTTATGATTTTATACATTGTAGAATAATAGTGAAGACATCAAAACTATGAAATAACACATATGGAATCATGTAGTAACCAAAAAAGTGTATTTTATATTTGAGATTGAAAAATGTATGCACTCACTAACTGTAAGTCGCTCTGGATAAGAGCTTCTGCTAAATGACTAAAATGTAAAATGTAAATGTAAATAGCCACCATTTGCCTTGATGGCAGCTTTGCACACTCTTGGCATTCTCTCAACCAGCTTCACCTGGAATGCTTTTTCCAACAGTCTTGAAGGAGTTCCCACATATGCTGAGCACTTATTGGCTGCTTTTTCTTCACTCTGCGGTCCGACTCATCCCAAACCATCTCAATTGGGTTGAGGTCGGCGGATTGTGGAGGCCAGGTCATCTGATGCAGCACTCCATCCCTCTCCTTGTTGGTAAAATAGCCCTTACACAGCCTGGAGATGTGTTGGATAATTGTCCTATTGAAAAAAAAATTATAGTCCCACTAAGCCCAAACCAGATGGGATGGCGTATTGCTGCAGAATGCTGTGGTAGCCATGCTGGTTAAGTGTGCCTTGAATTCTATATAAATCACAGACAATGTCAACAGCAAAGCACCCCCACACCATAACACCTCCTCCTTCATGCTTTACGGTGGGAAATACACATGCAGAGATCATCCGCTCACCCACACCGCGACTCACAAAGCCACGGCGGTTGTAACCAAAAATCTCAAATTTGGACTCCAGACCAAAGGACTCATTTCCACCGGTCTAATGTCCATTGCTCGTGTTTCTTGGCTGAAGCAAGTATATTCTTCTTATTGGTGTCCTTTGGTAGTGCTTTCTTTGCAGCAATTCGACCATGAAGGCCTGATTCACACAGTCTCCTCTGAACAGTTCATGTTGAGATGTGTCTGTTACTTGAACTCTGTGAAGCATTTATTTTGGCTGCAATTTCTGAGAACGGTAACTCTATTGAACTTATCCTCTGCATCTGAGGTAACTCTGGGTCTTCCATTCCTGTGGCGGTCCTCATGAGAGCCAATTTCATCATAGCGCTTGATGGTTTTTGCGACTGCACTTGAAGAAACTTTCAAAGTTCTTGAAATTCTCCGTATTGAATGATCTTCATGTCTTAAAGTAATGATGGACGGTTGTTTCTCTTTGCTTATTTGAGCTGTTTTTGCCATAATATGGACTTGGTATTTTACCAAATAGGGCTATCTTCTGTATACCCCCCCCCCCCCCCCCCCCCCCCCCCCCCTACCTTGTCACAACACAACTGATTGGCTCAAACGCATTAAGAAGGAATGAAATTCCACAAATTAACTTTTAAGAAGGCACACCTGTTAATTGAAATGCATTCCAGGTGACTACCTCATGAAGCTGGTTGAGAGAATGCCAAGAGTGTGCAAAGCTGTCATCAAGGCAAAGAAAGGGTGGCTATTTTAAGAATCTCAAATATAAAATATATTTTCATTTTTTTAACACCTTTTTGGTTACTACATGATTCCATATGTGTTATTTCATAGTTTTGATGTCTTCACTATTATTCTACAATGTAGAAAATAGTAAAAAATCTAGAAAAATCCTGGAATGAGTAGGTGTGTCCAAACTTTTGACTGGTACTGTATATAACATTAACATACTGTTGACACGTAGTCTATGGTGTAATGGAATATTTTGCCTTGTGTGGTAGGTTTTGTGCGTTTTGACAGTCTTATGTAGGTGTCATAACCAGCCATAAAATAATGCAATATACTGTATGTCACAACAGGTCTAAATATATGTGTCATGGATATAATAACAGGTTATGACACGTTATGTCAGCTGTTATGACATATTATGACATGGTTATGACTGTAACGTGTTATGATGCTGGGTGTCAAGTCTTACTAAATTTGTTTCCTCACCCATCTACACACAATACCCCATAATGACAAAGTGAAAACATGTTCTTAGAAAAATTTGCACATTTATTGAAAATGGAATGCAGAAATATCAAATTTACATAAGTATTCACATGCCTGAGTCAATGCTGTGTAGAAGCACCTTTGGCACCTTACAGCTGTGAGTCATTCTGGGTAAGTCTCTAAGAGCTTTCCACAGCTGGATTGTGCAACATTTGCCACTTATTCTTTTCAGAATTCGTCAAGCTCTGTCAAATTGGTTGTTGATCATTGCTAGACAGCCATAGATTTTCAAGAATATTTAAGTCAAAACTGCAGCTTGGCCACTCAGGAACATTCACTGTCTTCTTGTTAAGCAACTCCAGTGTATATTTGGCCTTGTATTTTAGGTTATTGTCCTGCTGAATGGAGAATTTGTCTCCTAGTGTCTGTAAGAAAGCAGACTGAACCAGGTTTTCCACTAGGATTTTGCCTGTACTAGCTCTATTCCATTTCTTTGTATCCTAAAAAACACCCTAGTCCTTGCAAATGACAAGCATATGATGCAGCAAAAATATAAATTCCACTTTGACATTATGGGGTATTGTATGTAGGCCATTGACAAAAAATGTATGTTTAATCCATTTTAAATTCAGGCTGTAACACAACAAAATGTGGAAAAGTCAAGGGGTGTGAATACTTTCTGACAGCACTCTGTATATGTATATACCTTTACGTGTCATAGAGGAAATATTATACAGATGGGATCTCCCTTTCAGCTCCATACCACAGTCAGTCAAAAAACGATATTATTCTGGTCACAGTTTCCTGCTGGCCTAAGCTAAAGTCGTGGTCCTCTGTAGCTCAGCTGGTAGAGCACGGCGCTTGTAACGCCAAGGTAGTGGGTTCGATCCCCGGGACCACCCATACACAAAAAAAATTATGCACGCATGACTGTAAGTCGCTTTGGATAAAAGCGTCTGCTAAATGGCATATTATTATTATTACCAGATTTGATCAGCTATGCTCCTCCCAGAGTAATTGGGTGTGAACTCAAGAGATTTGACTTGTAAAGGCTCTTTCAGGCTGGTCTATTCCTGGGCCCAGATTCACAAAACACTTCTTACTCAAAAACGGAAGAAGATTTGTGAGAAACAATATGAGAAGTTTATAAGTGCAATTCCTCAAACATTTCTTAACATGATTTTCTTACAAACTTCTTAACTATCTACGATAGGGTAATTCAGAAAGCTGATTGAGGACCTAATTACTGATGAATGTGTTTGTTTTTTATGACCGTGTTTTTCTGTTTTTCTGCTTGCATTTTGTATTTATGTTTTGATATGTGTATCTTCGGTAATTTCTGTAATTCAGGGCTCACATGTAAAAGAGACATTGGTCTCAGTATGGCTCCCTGCTAAAAAGTTAAGGTTAAATAAAAATAAATAAAATATTATTGTCCCTAGGCAACCGAGCTAGCTAACTATCAAGCTAGCAATTGCAATGGAACAAAAAATAGTCCCCTCAAAAAAAATCTAAAGGTGGTTTGTTCTGAAGTGTCTGTCCTATATCTGAAAGATACTGTATGATCCGGATGTTTTTTTTTTTTTTTTTTACATGAATTTAACCCCCATTCATTTTTTCAACTGGTACCGGGGGACCTTCAGACGAGTCTTGTGAGGCATATGGGGGTCCTAGAGCTAAATAACCGACATGTACATGTTTGTGAGAGTCTCACCTTTCCACAGAGGGGTCATACTAGCCCAAACTGTTCAGACGCTACAGACAGAAGTTGGCAGATCGGCTGTACCGACTTCAGACGAGTCCCAAGACGATTGTGGGGGTCATAGAGCAAAACGGAGAACACCATCGTTTTCGTGAGAGTCACATCTTTCCATAGAGTTTGTAGGTCATTCAGCCACTACAGACAATCGGTGAGAAGACCGATTCTCGGGATGTCACATAGTCTGACAAACACCGCTCTAGCTCTGCAACCTTTCACCACAGATAGTGCGAAATCAGCTGATGCGGTGGATTGAGATGCATCCAATGCTAAAAAACAGAAATCTGTAGCTTAAACTGATGGATTTTTATGGGATTTCTTTATTATGCTAATTCGATTTCCACCGGGGCGTGGACATCGACTCTAGGGGGTTTAAACATGTTCAACTGCTTTCATTAGCTTATTCTCTCACTTCCATGAGTTTAAGACAAGGGTTTAGCTGTCTTGAAATTGAGTAAATTTCCAAGACGAAATCCAGGAACATTATTTTCAATAATCTAATTTCTTCATAACTTATTTTTTAGGAAGAAACATAGGAAGAAGCTTAAGAACATTTCAAATAACTTTATTGAGGAATAGCAACTTTTCGTAGTTTAAGTATAAACTTAAGGAAAAAATGGCACTTATGAAGAAATGTATTCTTAAGAAGGTTTTGTGAATCTGGGCCCTGCTGGTCCTGGATGCTTTCCTTTCCTGGTGTCTTATTACCTCCAGGTTTGCACACCAATTGTGTGAATTAGAACCTTGACTGATCTAATAAACCTTGTATTAGCTGGTCCAATTCTATCAGTCATTCCTGTGGGTTGAATAACCTGCTGGGCTGCTGGTGCTACTGAAGCCTGGGGAAAGGATTGATCAGCCTGCCCTACTCTACTGTTAGAGGGTAATGGGAGATTATTGTGAGGTGGTTTGCTTTGCCACTGGAGGTGGGATGAAGTGGTTAGAACAGAACAGAGAAAGTGATACACCACCTGCTTGAGGGAGCAGGTCTTGTCTAGCTCTTTAGACTTACTGTAGGAAATATGTAAATTGTGGAACACGCTCAAATACATGCACATGCTGTACTAATTATACAAAACACACATCCACAAACACACACACAAAGTTACTGTCTCTTTTAACATCCCTCTTTTTCTTATGGTCCCGTTATCCATCATCCTGTCATATGTATTCCCATCCATGCAGGTGGGGGGAAATTGCACTGCATAACATTATACTGCATACCATGAGGAATTGACGTGCTCAATTCAAAAGGTTGTAGTAAGAAAATATGTTTTGGCCGCTGGATTCAAAAGGCATAATTATACTGAAGGAAAAACCTGCACTCACTGTAAACACTGCAATAATTATACTGCATACAGTACCACCAGCCCTTAACCTGTCCTCTGTTCTCTCCTTTACCTCCAGGAGTATTACAGTGCAATGTATTGACTTAGGGGTCAAGAACCGTGATACATATATTTTTGCAAAAGCTTCACAATGTGATGCATAGCAATGATACCATGTTGCACTGTACAGTATAATGAATAGGTACCAGTGCTTACCCTTTCCTCTATTCTCCTCTCTCCCACCAGGAGTATCCGCTGCTTGAGGAACATCATCCACTGGAACCTGATCACAGCTTTCATCCTGAGGAATGCCACTTGGTTCGTCGTACAGCTCACCATGAACCCCGAGGTGCATGAGAGCAATGTGGTGAGTACAGGGAAGTTAAATGTACATCCATTTCAGGCCACTTTATATGCAATATACAAATACATACAGGTAACTGCCAAAATAAAGGAAACGCCAACATAAAGTGGCTTAATAGGGCGTTGGGCCACCACGAGCCGTCAGAACAGCTTCAACGTGCCTCGGCATAGATTCTGCAAATGTCTGGAACTCTATTGAGACACCATTCTTCCACAAGAAATTACTTAATTTGGTGTTTTGTTGATGGTGGTGTGAAACGCTGTCTCAGACGCTGCTCCAGAATCTCCGATAAGTGTTTAAATCTGGTGACTGAGACGACCGTGGCATATGGTAAACATCATTTTCATGCTCATCAAACCATTCAGTGATCACTCGTGCCCTGTGGATGGGGGCATTGTCATCCTGGCAGAGACCACTCCCATCAGGATAGAAATTATTAATCATATTAATCATAGATTGAAGGTGATCACTCAGAATGGCTGTGTATTTATTGGTGTTTACCTTGGTCTCTAAGGGGTTGAGTGGATTTAAACCATGCCAGGAAAATGCACCCCACACCATAACAGCTCAAACAACTCAAACAACTCAAGTGTTTCCTTCATTTTGGCATGGTTTTACCTGTATATAGTTTGCTGTGATACAATAAGGGCAATAAATTCATGCAGATATGGAAGCACACACACACATTCAGACTCCCACACACCCACACAAAAATCCCCACTCTCTCCTTCTATTACTTTCCCTCTCTCTCCAGGCTCACTAATGAACACACACACACACACACACACTTTCACTCATCCATATTCTTCCCCTCTCCGATCGAATAGGATTGCAGTTTCCCAGCTATCATTTCCAAAACATCTCCAGGCACACACACACACACACACACACACACACACACACACACACACACACACACACACACACACACACACACACACACACACACACACACACACACACACACACACACACACACACACACACACACTCCTAACTAACTAACAGGCATTGGAGTACCATCATGTCGTCCTGGTTCATTATTAATTGCCCCTCAGCTCGCCTGCCGCTTGACGTTATTGCTTGTGCAAACATCCCTCACCGCAGAGAAAAGAGAAGATGCTCCCTTTTCTTTCCAGCTCTTTCAATTAGCCTCTGCCACTACTTTATTAATTAGCTCATTATCCCCTCCGGCCCCCCCAGCCCTCAGAAATGAATGAATCCAACCCCCACTGTCAATATCTGACCTAAGAAGACAAACTGAGCGCGCTCAAAGCGACCCAGTCAGTTAGCCCTCCTCCTCCACCGCTTCTTCTTCTATTCTGAGAATAAACAAGATGGCTGCCGTCAGCCATTAGCCATGAGAATTTCTGCTTGTCAGTTGAAAGACGGAGGCTTGACGGCTCGTTTCGTTTATTATTTATGCAAGGTCGTGGAGCGAGCGACCTGCGGAGGAACACAGCGCAGTACATAAGTCAGGGCTAATAGGTAATACAGTGGGGGAAAAAAGTATTTAGTCAGCCACCAATTGTGCAAGTTCTCCCACTTAAAAAGATGAGAGAGGCCTGTAATTTTCATCATAGTCAACTATGACAGACAAATTGAGAAAAACAAATCCAGAAAATCACATTGTAGGATTTTTTATGAATTTATTTGCAAATTATGGTGGAAAATAAGTATTTGATCACCTACAAACAAGCAAGATTTCTGGCTCTCACAGACCTGTAACTTCTTCTTTAAGAGGCTCCTCTGTCCTCCACTCGTTACCTGTATTAATGGCACCTGTTTGAACTTGTTATCAGTATAAAAGACACCTGTCCACAACCTTAAACAGTCACACTCCAAACTCCACTATGGCCAAGACCAAAGAGCTGTCAAAGGACACCAGAAACAAAATTGTAGACCTGCACCAGGCTGGGAAGACTGAATCTGCAAAAGGTAAGCAGCTTGGTTTGAAGAAATCAACTGTGGGAGCAATTATTAGGAAATGGAAGACATACAAGACCACTGATAATCTCCCTCGATCTGGGGCTCCACGCAAGATCTCACCCCGTGGGGTCAAAATGATCACAAGAACGGTGAGCAAAAATCCCAGAACCACACGGGGGGACCTAGTGAATGACCTGCAGAGAGCTGGGACCAAAGTAACAAAGCCTACCATCAGTAACACACTACACCGCCAGGGACTCAAATCCTGCAGTGCCAGACGTGTCCCCCTGCTTAAGCCAGTACATGTCCAGGCCCGTCTAAAGTTTGCTAGAGTGCATTTGGATGATCCAGAAGAGGATTGGGAGAATGTCATATGGTCAGATGAAACCAAAATAGAACTTTTTGGTAAAAACTCAACTCGTCGTGTTTGGAGGACAAAGAATGCTGAGTTGCATCCAAAGAACACCATACCTACTGTGAAGCATGGGGGTGGAAACATCATGCTTTGGGGCTGTTTTTCTGCAAAGGGACCAGGACGACTGATCTGTGTAAAGGAAAGAATGAATGGGGCCATGTATCGTGAGATTTTGAGTGAAAACCTCCTTCCATCAGCAAGGGCATTGAAGATGAAACGTGGCTGGGTCTTTCAGCATGACAATGATCCCAAACACACCGCCCGGGCAACGAAGGAGTGGTTTCGTAAGAAGCATTTCAAGGTCCTGGAGTGGCCTAGCCAGTCTCCAGATCTCAACCCCATAGAAAATCTTTGGAGGGAGTTGAAAGTCCGTGATGCCCAGCGACAGCCCCAAAACATCACTGCTCTAGAGGAGATCTGCACGGCGGAATGTGCCAAAATACCAGCAACAGTGTGTGAAAACCTTGTGGAGACTTACAGAAAACGTTTGACCTGTGTCATTGCCAACAAAGGGTATATACAAAGTATTTAAGAAACTTTTGTTATTGACCAAATACTTATTTTCCACCATCATTTGCAAATTAATTAATTTAAAATCCTACAATGTGATTTTCTGGAGAAAAAAAATCTACTTTTGTCTGTCATAGTTGACGTGTACCTATGATGAAAATTACAGGCCTCTCTCATCTTTTTAAGTGGGAGAGCTTGCACAATTGGTGGCTGACTAAATACTTTTTTTCCCCACTGTATGTTAAAGGGCAACAGAACAAGTCAAAGGTTTTCAGATCATAAATGTATAAATGGATTGCTTTGGGGAGGTTTTGGGTGGGGTTAATGAAAGATCAATTACTTACTGATTAGGTTTCATTCTGTTGTTGTCATAGTTTTTTTTCTTAGACCACATTCCATTGACAGGAACATTTGGAGAATACAAAATGTATGAAATGTTAGAGACTGGTATTCTTTTAGGGCTATATAATGACTGTGTCCGAAATCTGGCTTGCCGACTACTTACAGTGCAGTCGGAAAGTATTCAGACCCCTTGACTTTTACACATTTTGTTACGTTACAGCCTTATTCTAAAATTAATTAAATAGTTTTTTTCCCCCTCATCAATCTACACACAATACCCCATAATGACAAAGCAAAAACAGGTTTTTAGAAATGTTTGCAAATGTATTAAAGATAAAAAATGGAAATATCACATTTACATAAGTATTCAGACCCTTTACTCAGTACTTTGTTGAAGTACCTTTGGCAGCGATTACAGCCTAGTCTTCTTGGGTATGATGCTACAAGCTTGGCACACCTGTATTTGGGGAGTTTCTCCCTTTGTTTTCTGCAGATCCTCTCAAGCTCTGTCAGGATGGATGGGGATCGTCGCTGCACAGCTATTTTCAGGTCTCTTCAGAGATGTTAGATCGGGTTCAAGTCCGGGCTCTGGCTGGGCCACTCAAGGACATTCAGAGACTTGTCCCGAAGCCACTCCTGCGTTGTTTTGTCTGCGTGCTTAGGGTCATTGTCCTGAACCTTTGCCCCAGTCTGAGGTCCTGAGCACTCTGGAGCAGGTTTTCATCAAGGATCTCTCTGTACTTTGCTCATCTTTCCCTCGATCCTGGCTAGTCTCCCAGTCCCTGCCGCTGAAATTCATGGATCCTTCTATTAAGGCAAGTCATCCAGGTCCTGAGGCAGCAAAGCATCCCCAAACCGTCACACTACCACCACCATGCTTGACCGTTGGTATAAGGTTCTTACTTTTTTTGCAAGGCATAATGGGACCCATGTCGTCCAAGCTATAATTTTCTTGTTTTTTCTTGTCCTTGGTACACTGGGTTCCCCCTGCGAATATAGAGGGGGCCGTTGTGCGTCAGTGGCGGGGATGTCAGGGCGGTAACGATATCACGCTATCACACTCAACCACGGCCCCACTTCACTGATCATACTGGGAGTCTCTCACCCTCAATGGGTCGATTAGAGCAGAGGCTAGAAAAAATGGAGAGTTGTGAATGAATTGCAATCCTGATTTGACAGCTGCCCTGACATGCCTTTAGACTACACAAGGGGTAGTGTGGAGGGAATTGGAAAGGGACACTTGGGATCTTAGCCCAAATACACTGAGATTGCTGGCTGTAGAGTCTCATTTTCTGTGTGACTTTGTGATGATTTGATGGGTAGTACCGACTCATGGAGTCTGTTGGTAAGTCCTTGAAGTAAGTGGGGTGAGACTGTGAAGCTAGACAAGGAGGCAAGATAAAATGAGAGTCAATGACACTTTCATATTGAATACAGATTTTTCCCACTCAGGACATTACTCTATTATTTTCACTAGGTACAATATGGAGGACACCTGTGCGAAGTAGGCACATAATTATGATGACAGTTAGTTCAGCCATCAAGCTGCCTTTTCCCCTGCACTATTCAATGGGCAATGAGCAGATAGTTGGATGGTAGCTTGACGTTTTGAATAACTACCTGAACAAATGCTGAATTAAATGATTTTTTCTTATTGTGGTGGAAAGGAGGTAAATAACACCTGATTTGGAACGACTCCTTGTTTTGATTGTGACCCAAGGCCACTCCCCACCTGCATGACAATAAGGAGTTCGTCTTACATTTGTCAGGGACTTTTCATGAAACTACTATTCTTGAACACTTAGACAACACATTCATCACAGGCCTTCAAAGGCCTTCAGAGATGCACTTTGCTACTTTTGAACAAACGCCAAAGGGGAGCATCTCCCCCCTCCTTCCGAACTGATGTCATCACCCAATGAGTCGTCTCACCTCCGTCTTCAGGGAGAGATTAAGGACTGACAGATCTCCTGTCTCATCTCCCAGCTGTAGACACCTAGTCCAGACTGATGAGTAGCGCTCAGAGGGCTGTAACCCCAGCCGGGCCTCTACTCACCTCCCAAAATACAATCTTGGAGTAGAAAAGTACACATTTCGGACAGCAGTGTAGGTGTATCTGGTGGTGCAACTCGCAACACTCCCCCAAGTGCCATTCTCGGACTCTCTCAATCCCAAGTAACACTCCCAAGTGACTCTCAATGATCTGGTCTCAATTGTCAAAGAAGATAGAGGTTGAAGTGTTAGAAGTGGCATACAGATGTGTACTATCTTAAGTTGACCAGTTTCTCACAGCAGGAAAATAATCCTGCAGCAACAGGGAATGTGAATTATTATGTGGATTTCAATTAATGGACATTTGTGTAGGTGTTGATAAATGTTTCTTTAAGGCAAATAGTTTGACATTTCAAGTGGAAATTGCTAACTTTAGAACCCTTTTTAAACCTCGAATACACTACAATTAGCATTTTCTGCTGCGCAGGAAAATTCTCTGCGACAACAGAGTGATCAAATTAATATAGCACATCTATATTGACTTTGGATTGAGAGGTATTGTCAGTGTTGGATGATTCAGATTGTCGTAGACCATGGGAATTGAGAGCTATGATGCAGTTTAACAAGTAATGCAGGAGGTCAAATCTGCCATTCTTAAACTGCCACAGTGAACTTTGTTTGCCAGACATCTGCCTAAGAACCAGTCCCAAACTGGAAACATTCAGAGAGTCCTTTTGACACTACTCCGAGCATGATAGAGAAGCTCAAACAAATAATAATAATCAAATAATGATCGCAAGGTGGAGTTTCACTCTCAGATTGAGTGTTTTTAGAGAGACTACCCACTGGGCACACACTGGTTGAATCAATGTTGTTTCCACGTCATTTCAATGAAATTACATTGAACCGATGTGAAATATAGATGTTGAATTGACGTCTATGCCCAGTGGGTAGGGGCGAATAGGAACGAAAGTAACACTTTTAATTTTTTTCCTAATTACTCAGAGATCGATAGAGCTAGAGACACCATATTTTATGGCAAACAACTTATACATGTCCTCTACCGTTAGCAACTGTAATTTCATTTCTAGGGTAAATTAGTTGAAATTAAATAGACTGAGAACAGAACTACCGCAACGTTACTTTTTTATACCTGCCGGCGGGGCGGGAGTAACACAGCCTTGGGAAGGAAGTAACAGCTGGGGAGAAGTGCACAATATCTGTCTTATCTCCATGTTTCTGGTTTGTAATGCTCATTACTTTTAACAAATATACTATCAGACATAATTTAATGTTTGTGTCGATTTGAATAATTAATGCTATAGGTTCATAATTTATGAAAATTAACCATGCGTCAATATTGCAATGTTGCGCAACCACAATATTTTGCCTTACAATATTAATCTGACTAAAATGGATCACATAATAGCTATATTAACCATCATTTTCTTATCTCACTTTAATGGGAATGTAGTAGGAGATATTCTTCACCATTTTCAATGACTATTCATGCTTAAATCAAATAAAATAAAATGTCATTGGTCGCATACACATATTTAGCAGATGTTATTGTGGGTGTATCGAAATACTTGTGTTTCTAGCTCCAAGTATTTCTAGCTCCGACAGTGCAGTAATATCTAACAATATACAACAATACACACAAATCTACTTCCGCCCTGTGTTACTTTCGTCCCGGCTCTCCTTCAGAAGCTGCAGCCCTGCCTTACTCCCCCTCCTTGATCTCATTACATGTCCATAAAGAACCAGGGCTGCATCCGAAATGGCACCCTATTCCCTATATAGTGCACTACTTTTCCAACAGGCAACAATCCCCTAAGGAGTGAGGAAAGGGAACCAGTTGTGCCTTTACAGCTCTCACTTTTTAGTTTTTACTAGCCTTTTTTCTTGTTCTTTCCTTCCTATCTATAAAAGTTGTGGTGCCGGCTTGTCACGGCAGCCTATAATTATTTCCACGTGACAAACTTCTTCTGGATGTTTGGGGAGGGCTGCTACCTGCATACAGCCATCGTGCTCACCTATTCCACGGACAAGCTGCGCAAGTGGATGTTCATCTGCATCGGGTGGTGTGAGTAGCCTACACTTAGTTAATCAAATGAAAGACGGATGTGCGTTGATTGATTAGTTTGACTGATCACAAAGAATGTAAGTCAACTGTAACAGAGACTATGTGTGATGTTTTACAGGTATCCCTCTTCCAATCATCATTGCGTGGGCCATTGGCAAGCTTTACTACGACAACGAAAAGTAAGCGCATGTATTTTTCTCTATATGCACTCACTAACTGTAAGTCGCTCTGGATAAGAGCGTCTGCTAAATGACTAAAATGTAAAAATTTAAATGTAATGTCCCTGTGGTATCCATTTGTCTTTGGAGTCAGGCAACAATGTTGTCCGTGCTCCCCTCAGACCCATCAGAGTGATAATTGTAGTGGATGAAAGAAGGATGTCGCCCAATCATCTCCTTAATTGTACTTTCTGCCAGGTCATTAAATGATCGATTCATCCTAATTTTAAGGGAGTCTTGGTGAACCTGTAACCTATAATTGCTCTGCATACAGAATAGCAGGTTGATGTTTATTGTCATGAGTCTTGTCCTGGTGGCAGAACTGAGCGATTTCCCCAATCAACTGCTCTCTGCTGTCAAAGATATCAATCTGATTTAAATGCTTATTTTATAGCAAGGCCCTTCATCATAACTCAGTAGCCTTGTGGTTAGAGTGTCCACCCTTCGATTGGAAGGTTGGGAATTTGATCCTCAGCCGAAACATACCAAAGAATATAAAAATGGGACCTGATGCGTCTCTGTTTTGCGCTCAGCATTAAGGAGATTGAGGAAAAAAAAAAAAAATGATTTTTTCACAAAAGTAGTGCACTGGGCCTTTAATAGTCCTGTATTAGCGGACCAATATAGCCGTCTGCAGCGCGGGTAAAAACGTATTCCCCCGTCCGTCCGTCCGTCCGTCGAATAATAAAATCGCAGCACCCCCACCCCCAAACTACTTCCCGCTGCTATGGTTAAGGCCCTGCGACAGACTAGCGTCCTGTCCGGGGGGTGTACTCACGCTACAGAATCAGGACGTATGCTCCTGCTCCTATGAGCTGTCCCAGCTTGTGCAAGGCTACTTATTTATTCCATCTTAAACCTGACTTGAAATAGCCTAAGCAAACATACTCCACATGCTTTCCCATTCTCTGACATTCTGCTCTCTAATACAATCAGACAACACTCATGGTAGAGTTGAAAGTTCTTCACTCAACCAGCTAGTTGGATGGGGGGCATCAGTTTCATTAATGCTACACCAGGAACCTGACAGTTTCCACTCTATCACATCGGAGGCTCCCGCTTACACAGGGGTTGCTGTGATATCCACCCTCCGAAACCTGTTAGCTTGTTTTTCATTATGCTCAGCGGGGCGAAAACAAACTTCTATCCAGACACAGTTCCTCCTAAGCTAAGCCCTCTACTTTTTTTCACCTCTCTCTCTCTCTCTCTCTCTCTCTCTCTCTCTCTCTCTCTCTCTCTCTCTCTCTCTCTCTCTCTCTCTCTCTCTCTCTCTCTCTCTCTCTCTCAACAAGGTGAAGACAGAACAAATGAATAATTCACTCCACTGAACTGAGTCTGTAGAGTTAGTGAATCTGGAGCATCTCATACCCTGGGAGAGCGTCTTCATGTCCTTTTTTCACCCCTTTGTTTTTACAGCAAAGTGGATGTAATTCCACAAATTATTTGTTTTAGGTGTTTTCTACTGCTAGAAGGGAGTGCTGTACTTTACAAAGGCCTCTCTTATTCTCTGCCAGTACTGGCTTTGATAGGCTAAGCCCTCTCACCCACCTCTGATATGAATTAATGTGATTGGCCGAGGCCCATGCTCGTTTTAGTCAACTATAAAAAATTGTTGGGAAAGGTCCCGCAGTTTGCTTTGTCATCGAATACATTTGATTGGTTGACCTTCTGACATCGGCCACTATGATTGGCTCAACTCTCTGTGTTCTAAATTACAGGTGCTGGTTTGGGAAGAAGGCAGGAGTGTACACAGATTACATCTACCAGGGCCCAATGATCCTGGTGTTGCTGGTAAGACAGTGTTACACAAAATATTTTTTACATTTCTCCATATTTCTCCTCCTAGTATAGACATTTATAGACATAGTGTTCTAGCCTTGTCCTTTTTAGGTTTTCCTACATCCATGACCAAGCTCTTCCCCTTTACACTTTCCTCTAACTGTGCTTGAATTTACAGCACATCGCAGTTAGGAACACTGCCAAAATAACATTACTGTGCACTCAAGCGGAAATTGTGTTTCAAGGTCAAGTAGTTGCTTCAAAACAAACAGTAGAAAGGTCATTGACATTCAATGGTGTGTGAACTTTATAAAGCAGCCTTCCAACGCACACACTCACTGACATACTGTAATACCATCATGTGAAGCTATTTGAACGAAGTGACACCTACTACAAATATGCAGAACTGACAGGGTCATTTGGAATGAATATGATGTATGATGAATATGTATGAATAGTATATGATTTGCAGCATGCTAAACTGTAACTGTTTTAGCTCAGCTTGACAATCTTAACACGTACAGGTTGAAGTCGGAAGTTTACATACACTTAGGTTGGAGTCATTAAAACTTGTTTTTCAACCACTCCACAAATGTTTTGTTAACAAACTATAGTTCTGGCAAGTCGGTTAGGACATCTACTTTGTGCATGACACAAGTAATTTTTCCAACAATTGTTTACAGACAGATTATTTCACTTATAATTCACTGTATCACAATTCCAGTGGGTCAGAAGTTTACATAAAGACTGTGCCTTTAAACAGCTTGGAAAATTCCAGAAAATGATATCATGGCTTTAGAAGCTTCTGATAGGCTAATTGACATTGTTTGAGTCAATTGGAGGTGTACCTGTGGATGTATTTCAAGGCCTACCTTCAAACTCAGTGCCTCTTTGCTTGACATCATGGGAAAATCAAAAGAAATCAGCCAAGACCTCAGAAAAAAATGGTAGACCTCCACAAGTCTGGTTCATCCTTGGGAGCAATTTCCAAATGCCTGAAGGTACCACGTTCATCTGTACAAACAATAGTACGCAAGTATAAACACCATGGGACCACACAGCCGTCATACCGCTCAGGAAGGAGACGCGTTCTGTCTCCTAGAGATGAACGTACTTTGGTGCGAAAAGTGCAAATCAATCCCAGAACAACAGCAAAGGACCTTGTGAAGATGCTGGAGGAAACAGGTACAAAAGTATCTATATCCACAGTAAAACAAGTCCTATATCGACATAACCTGAAAGGCCGCTCAGCAAGGAAGAAGCCACTGCTCCAAAACTGCAATAAAAAAGCCAGACTACGGTTTGCAACTGCACATGGGGACAAAGATCGTACTTTTTGGAGAAATGTCCTCTGGTCTGATTAAACAAAAATAGAACTGTTTGGCCATAATGACCATCGTTATGTTTGGAGGAAAAGGGGGTTGCTTGCAAATACTAATTGAGTGTATGTAAACTTCTGACCCACTGGGAATGTGATGAAAGAAATAAAAGCTGAAATAAAGAATTCTCTCTACTATTATTCTGACATTTCACATTCTTAAAATAAAGTGGTGATCCTAACTGACCCAAGACAGGGATTTTTTACTAGGATTAAATGTCAGGAATTGTGAAAAACTGAGTTTAAATGTATTTGGCTAAGGTGTATGTAAACTTCCGACTTCAACCTGTATCCCCCTTTTAAATATAGTTCAAATATGTGACTGTTTTTCTCATGCCTTCTCCATTCATAACTCACCAGTTACTCACACATAACGTTGGGACATTATTTAAAATATGATATAACCAGCGGGCAACATTTTAATGTAAACAATGTATTTATTGATTTGCCCTTAAAACCTCAGCAGTCAATCATCCTAAGACCTTGCTCTGAAGCATTACATTTGCTTTTATTTACTCCTTGTTTTGCAGATGGTTTTAATTTTATCAGAATTATGTTTGAGATGCAGCATTCATTGCACATACAGTGGGGGAAAAAAGTATTTAGTCAGCCACCAATTGTGCAAGTTCTCCCACTTAAAAAGATGAGAGAGGCCTGTAATTTTCATCATAGGTACACAAAATGAGAAAAAAAAATCCTGAAAATCACATTGTAGGATTTTTAATGAATTTATTTGCAAATTATGGTGGAAAATAAGTATTTGGTCAATAACAAAACTTTCTCAATACTTTGTTATATACCCTTTGTTGGCAATGGCACAGGTCAAATGTTTTCTGTAAGTCTTCACAAGGTTTTCACACACTGTTGCTGGTATTTTGGCCCATTCCACCATGCAGATCTCCTCTAGAGCAGTGATGTTTTGGGGCTGTCTCTGGGCAACACGGACTTTCAACTCCCTCCAAAGATTTTCTATGGGGTTGAGATCTGGAGACTGGCTAGGCCACTCCAGGACCTTGAAATACTTCTTATGAAGCCACTCCTTCGTTGCCCGGGTGGTGTGTTTGTGATCATTGTCATGCTGAAAGACCCAGCCACGTTTCATCTTCAATGCCCTTGCTGATGGAAGGAGGTCTTCACTCAAAATCTCACGATACATGGCCCCATTCATTCTTTCCTTTACACGGATCAGTCGTCCTGGTCCCTTTGCAGAAAAACAGCCCCAAAGCATGATGTTTCCACCCCCATGCTTCACAGTAGGTATGGTGTTCTTTGGATGCAACTCAGCATTCTTTGTCCTCCAAACACGACGAGTTGAGTTTTCACCAAAAAGTTATATTTTGGTTTCATCTGACCATATGACATTCTCCCAATCTCTTCTGGATCATCCAAATGCACTCTAGCAAACTTCAGACGGGCCTGGACATGTACTGGCTTAAGCAGGGGGACACGTCTGGCACTGCAGGATTTGAGTCCCTGGCGGCGTAGTGTGTTACTGATGGTAGGCTTTGTTACTTTTGGTCCCAGCTCTCTGCAGGTCATTCACTAGGTCCCCCCGTGTGGTTCTGGGATTTTTGCTCACCGTTCTTGTGATCATTTTGACCCCACGGGGTGAGATCTTGCGTGGAGCCCCAGATCGAGGGAGATTATCAGTGGTCTTGTATGTCTTCCATTTCCTAATAATTGCTCCCACAGTTGATTTCTTCAAACCAAGCTGCTTACCTATTGCAGATTCCGTCTTCCCAGCCTGGTGCAGGTCTACAATTTTGTTTCTGGTGTCCTTTGACAGCTCTTTGGTCTTGGCCATAGTGGAGTTTGGAGTGTGACTGTTTGAGGTTGTGGACAGGTGTCTTTTATACTGATAACAAGTTCAAACAGGTGCCATTAATACAGGTAACGAGTGGAGGACAGAGGAGCCTCTTAAAGAAGAAGTTACAGGTCTGTGAGAGCCAGAAATCTTGCTTGTTTGTAGGTGACCAAATACTTATTTTCCACCATAATTTGCTAATAAATTCATAAAAAATCCTACAATGTGATTTTCTGGATTTTCTTTTCTCAATTTGTCTGTCATAGTTGACGTGTACCTATGATGAAAATTACAGGCCTCTCTCATCTTTTTAAGTGGGAGAACTTGCACAATTGGTGGCTGACTAAATACTTTTTTCCCCCACTGTACATCAGTCAATACACTGTATCAGCCCATTATCAGCCTGAAAACTTGAAACCCTGTGACACTCATCTTTTCCCATTGACAACAATGTATTGAGAAAAACATCAGCTACTGTGACATTTACCTTTCTGCAAACTTCCAGGATGACATTTTTCTATGATATCATGTTGACTGTATTGAAACACTGTCTATGTAAATTAGGCACAATCCCAAGTGTTTGTCTTTCCCATGCAGATTGAACAGATTTATAATCTATACCACTCAGTAAAAATGTAGAGAAAAAGGTTTTTTATAGACTTTATTTGGCACCGGTATCCTATCATCACTTAAAGCCCAATACAGTTATTTCCACCACAGACAAATATTGTTTTATTAAATGTTTCTCTCTCCTAATTGACCTATGTAAATCTTCTCTAAATTCTTATTTTCCCTCCTGTTCTCAGATCAACTTTATATTCCTCTTCAACATTGTGAGAATCCTCATGACAAAGCTGAGAGCCTCCACCACCTCAGAGACAATACAGTACAGGTGAGCCAGGACCAGGTTCCCAAATGTTCCCCTATTCCCTCGACAGTGCATTACTTTTGACCAGGCCCCCAGGGTAGTGCTCTACAGTGCCTTGCAAAAGTATTCATCCCCCTTGGTGTTTTTCCTATTTTGTATCATTACAACCTGTAATTTAAATTGATTTTTATTTGGATTTCATGTAATGGACATACACAAAATAGTCCAAATTGGTGAAGTGAAATGAATAAAAAAACTTGTTTAAAGAAATTATACAAAATAAATAACGGGAAAGTGGTGTGTGCATATGTATTCACCCCCTTTGCTATGAAGCCCCTAAATAAGATCTGGTGCAACCAATTACCTTCAGAAGTCACATAATTAGTTAAATAATTATTTTTAAAAAATATCAGAAACTTTGAACATCCCACGGAGCACCATTAAATCCATTATTAAAAAATTGAAAGAATATGGCACCACAACAAACCTGCCAAGAGAGGGCCGCCCACCAAAACTCATGGACCAGGCAAGGAGGGCATTAATCAGAGAGGCAACAAAGAGACCAAAGATAACACTGAAGGAGCTGCAAAGCTCCACAGCGGAGATTGGAGTATCTGTCCATAGGACTACTTTAAGCCGTACACTCCACAGAGCTGGGCTTTACGGAAGAGTGGCCAGAAAAAAGCCATTGCTTAAAGAAAAAAATAAGCAAACATGTCTGGTGTTCACCAAAAGGCATGTGGGTGACTCCCCAAACATATGGAAGAAGGTACTCTGGTCAGATGAAACTAAAATGTAGCTTTTTGGCCATCAAGGAAAAAGCTATGTCTGGCGCAAACCCAACACCTCTCATCACCTCGAGAACACCATCCCCACAGTGAAGCATGGTGGTGGCAGCATTATGCTGTGGGGATGTTTTTCATCGGCAGGGACTGGGAAACTGGTCAGAATTGAAGGAATGATGGATGGCGCTAAATACAGGGAAATTCATGAGGGAAACCTGTTTCAGTCTTCCAGAGATTTGAGACTGGGACAGAGGTTCACCTTCCAGCAGGACAATGACCTTAAGCATACTGCTAAAGCAACACTCGAGTTGTTTAAGGGGAAACATTTAAATGTCTTGGAATGGCCTAGTCAAAGCCCAGACCTCAATCCAATTGAGAATCTGTGGTATGACTTAAAGATTGCTGTACACCAGCGGAACCCATCCAACTTGAAGGAGCTGGAGCAGTTTTGCCTTGAAGAATGGGAAAAAATCCCAGTGGCTAGATGTGCCAAGCTTATAGAGACATACCCCAAGAGACTTGCAGCGGTAATTGCTGCAAAAGGTGACTCTACAAAGTATTGACTTTGGGGGGGGTGAATAGTTATGCACGCTCAAGTTTTCTGTTTCTTTCTCTTATTTCTTGTTTGTTTCACAAAAAAAAATATTAGCATCTTCAAAGTGGTAGGCATGTTGTGTAAATCAAATAATACAAACTCCAAAAAAATCTATTTTAATTCCAGGTTGTAAGGCAACAAAATAGGAAAAATGCCAAGGGGGGTGAATACTTTCGCAAGCCACTGTACCTCCTTGGATTTCTTCACATTTTATTGTTTTACAAAGTGGGAATAAAATGTATTTAAATGTAATTTTTTGTCAACTATCTACACAAATTACTCTGTAATGTCAAATTGGAAGAACAATTCTATATAAAGATTAATGAAAGATAAAATACCAATAACCCTTGATTAATATGTATGTACCCCCTGAGTCAATACATGTTAGAAACACCTTTGCCAGCGATTACAGCTGTGAGCCTTCTTGGTTAAGTCTTATAAGAGCTTTGCACACCTGTATTGTACAATATTTGCCCATTATTATTTTCAAAATTCTTCAAGCGCTGTCAAGGTGTTGGAGATCATGGCTTGACAGCAATTTTAAAGTCTTGCCATAGATTCTTAAGCAAAACTGTAACTTGACCACTCAGGAACATTAACTGTCTTCTTGGTAAGCAACTCTAGTGTAGATTTGGCTTTGTGTTTTAGTCTTCCTAAAAGGTGAATTCCTCTCCCAGTGTATGGTGTAAAGCAGACTGAAGCAGGTGTTCCTCTAGGATTTTGCCTGTGCTTAGCTCCATCCCAGTCTTTGCCGATGTCAAGCATACCCATACCATGATGCGGCCACCACCATGCTTGAAAATAAGGAGGCAGTTACTCAGTATGTGTTGTGTTGGATTTTCTACAAACATAAGGCTTTGCATTTAGGCCAAAAAGTGTATTCCTTTGCTGTGTTTTTTTTCTTTTCAGTATTACTTTAGTGCCTTGTTGCATACATATGCATGTTTTGGAATATTTTTTTTTATTCTGTATTTGAATTCTTCTTTTCACTCTGTCATTTAGGTAATTCTTGTGGAGTCACTACAATGTTGTTGATCCATCCTCCATTTTCTCCCATCACAGACATTGAACTCTGTAGCTGTTTTAACATTACCAATGGCCTCATGGTAAAATCCCTAAGCAGTTTCCTTCTTGTCCTGCAGCTCAGTTCAGAAGGACGACTGCATCTTTGATGTGTCTGGGTGGTTTAATACATCATCCACAGCATAATTATTAACTTGATCATGCTTAAAGATATATTCAATGTATGATTTGTTATTGTTACCATCTACCAATCATTGCCCTTCTTTATTAGGCTTTTGAAAAGCATTTGTCGAATTTTCTGATCAATGACAAAATTGACTATTAAATCTGTTTCAATCCCACTTTGTAACGCAACAAAATATGAAACAAGTTCAAGGGGGTGTAGACTTTCTATAGGCACTGTAGGGATTCATGTGCCATTTGGGACGTATCCAGGGTCGGCTGAGCCAGCCCCAGGTGTAAAGTAGACATCAATTGGCTGTTAATTAATACACTCCCAAGAAACATCAATGGCCTCGCTGGAAGAAACCTAATGAACGATACCTGTCTGGTTGAATTGCTATAATTGATTGTTGTGTGGAGGGAGGTGGGGTGGGAGTGTGTGTGCTTGCGCATGTGTGTGTTTCGCGTGTGTGTGTTCTGCGTGTGTGTGTGCGCACCCATGCCTGTTTGTGCGCGGGTGCGTGTGTGTGCCTGCATCATCAGAAACCCTCACACCTTTCACATACAGATCCTGTACACCAGCACTACAGATTTCCACAGCCGGCTAAAACAACACACCATGCTGACTATTCACAAGCCATAATCATTTTCACGCCTTTTTATTGGTACAGTAAGATCAGACAGTTTGTCTGACTCCGTGTACAATGAAACCAGAGTGACAGAGGCTGCATGGGGTCATCTGACTGAAAAACAGCCAAGCTAATATCCTCGCTCATTATTGTAATTTAATGGAGTCATTTCTCAATCACCCTTCTTATTGAGCAAATTCAATTTGGCCGCACTAATGTGATTATAAAGGCTACATTCGTTACCCTTCAGCCAGCTTTCAGTCTGCGTCACAAATGGCACCTTATTAACTATATAGTGCAGGGCCGGCCCTGGTCAAAGGTAGTGCACTATGTAGATAAAAAGGGTGCCATTTTGGACGCATGCTGTGACCTCACGCCCTTGAGTCTCAGCTAGTGCTCCTCTATTGGACTGCTGGTCAGCACTTCACTTGTGATTAATAATATGCTGATGGTTGAGAGGCCGGTATGACCTAGAACATGACCAAGTCATCATACATTAACCCATTGGTGGGCCATATAGCTGGTATGCACCACAGCAATGCACTTCCACTGGGATTCCACTGGGAAATGGATGAATTGAAAGAATGTGTCAGTGTCACGTTACTTTAGGCCATGTTAGGAATTTAAATGTGTGCTTAATTCACACAGCCACTGTCTCATCATAGCAAGTTTAAGAACATAAATATGTTAACAGAACAATTCAATTCTGAGTTATTTGTCTACCTGTTATAGCGCTGAAAGGACTATGGGGTTTTGCAATATGCATGTGAACTGGAAACTGCTGCCATGGTTTGAATATGTATTCCCACACCCAGTGTGGAATCAAAGTATTGTAGGAACTTGACAAACATTGTCACTACCCTAGGTATGTTGACACCATAAATCCAAACTACACACGCCAGTATTGTGAGTGCTCTCATGAAACATAAAATCACAGAACAGGAGAAAAAAAACTTGGCAGCCATTAGCAAATTAGTATTGACTCACTAGTTGTCTGGCAGGTCTATTTTAGGCATTTTTCTGTGTTGCTAGTATGAGTCTGTGTCTTATTGACTCTCTAGTTGTCTGGCAGGTCTATTTTTGGCATCTATCTGTGTTGCTAGTATGAGTCTGTGTCTTATTGACTCTAGTTGTCTGGCAGGTCTATTTTTGGCATCTATCTGTGTTGCTAGTATGAGTCTGTGTCTTATTGACTCTCTAGTTGTCTGGCAGGTCTATTTTTGGCATCTATCTGTGTTGCTAGTATGAGTCTGTGTCTTATTGACTCTCTAGTTGTCTGGCAGGTCTATTTTAGGCATCTATCTGTGTCGCTAGTATGACTCTGCATCTGTGTCTTATTGACTCTCTAGTTGGCGGCCAGGTCTTTATTTAATAATATGACTCTTGTGTTACTGTGTGTCCATCAGGAAAGCGGTGAAGGCCACTCTGGTGCTGCTGCCACTTCTGGGCATCACCTACATGCTATTTTTTGTCAACCCGGGAGGGGAGGATGAGGTCGCCCAAATAGTCTTCATCTACTTCAACTCCATCCTGGAGTCTTTTCAGGTATGCCCATGCCCAATAGAAAGTGTTATAGAGGGTTTGAGAACTTGTTTGATGCAGTAAACATTCTGAAGCATATAACGAAAATATTTGGGTGTCAAGGTGTCACAAAACAATAGATGTAGGCTACAGTACAATGTAATGCTGCTCACACTGCTCATCTTATCGTCAATGTTTAACACTCTCTCTCTCCTCCCCCTCTCCTCTCGCCATCTCTTTCTCTCTGTGTTACCCCCTCTCTCCATCTTTCCCTCTGTCTCTGTCCTCCAGGGCTTTTTCGTGTCAGTGTTTTACTGCTTCCTGAACAGCGAGGTAAGCAGATTCATGCTTGTCCCATGATCCCCCACCGCTCAAACTGTACCCGTAATGCGTTTTTCTTTCAAATCCCTCCGTCCCCCTATCCCTCCCTCCATCCCTCCCTCCCTCCATCCCTCCTCTCATTCCTACCAGGACTATTGGAAACATGTTCACTTCGCACCATTTCATGCAGAGCTAAAAATGTATATTGTGTTGTCTAAAATGCAAGCCAAGCAGCAGGGTTACCTTGGACATGCAGATCAAGATGAGCTTCACCCTGGCCCAACACATATATACACACCCCATCTCAGAGGCTGCATGGTGCCATGGTCAAAAGTAGTGCACTATATAAGGAATAGGGTGCCATTTCAGATTTGCCAAAATGGATTTGTCATGAAATATTAATCGGTGAGAAACCTAAATCGGGCTTGAGTTACAAAAGATTGCTTGCCTTAAAACCTGACAAACTCTTGGGAGAGCTGTGAAAGTACCCTTGCTACACAGCTTGATGTAAACGTTGCAATTACCTCCTTCTCAGGTATCCCATTCTCCCTGGAGCAAACTGTCTCAACTGGAGACTGCCCGGGTCATGTCTCCTGGATCATTCATCCATGTATTTTGGTTTATAAATGCATTTATTTTACCTCAGCATTACACGGATAGTCAGGAAGGATGAAATGAGGCCTACACGCTAACGCTGAGTAGAGATCAATGTACGCTAGCATGACGCCACTTAGTGAGACAGATATCTCCCACTGAGGTGCAGTTACTTAGGGCAAAAGTGGCCACTCAATAGACGTGTGCTGACAGTTTGCTTACCTATTCAACCTCTGTGTCTCCTGTTGGCTCACTAATGTCGAGCAGCCGCTAATTCGTTGCTCTTGATGGTATCATGGGACTACATCCAAAGGTACAAATGGTGGAGATCGATGGTTGATCAAATGTTATCATGAACGATCAACGATCTGTCAAGCAAAGCCTGAGAGGACCGAATGTTTGTTTTTCTGCTTTTTTTCACCATTTACAAGGTAGGGAGAACCAGAGTAGTGCTAACCTCAGACACACAAGTAAATGTTATCGACTAGCCTTCTCTGCTCTGATATTCTATAAGAAGTGTCGTTACTCAAGCAGCAGGAAAGAGAGTAGAAAGAGGTGCCGCGTTTTCCGTACCAGTCAGCTGCGGCCGACTTCAATCACTGTTAGTATTTTAGCATTCCTATTAGTGTTAATATCAGTTAGGGCATTAGCCTAGCTTGCACTGTGTGAGTGTGAAGGAGAGCTACAATGCATTCTGAAAGTATTCAGACCCCTTGACGTTTTCCACAATTTGTTACGTTACAGCCTTATTCTAAAATTGATTAAATTGTTTTTCCCCCCCATCAATCTACACACAATACCCCATAATGACAAAGAAAAAAAACAGGTTTTTAGACATTTTAGAAAATGTATTAAAGATAAAAAACGGAAATATCATATTTACATAAGTATTCAGACCCTTTACTCAGTACTTTGTTTAAGCACCTTTGGATTACAACCTCGAGTCTTCTTGGGTATGACGCTACAAGCTTGGCACACCTGTATTTGGGGTGTTTCTCCCATTCTTCTCTGCAGATCCTCTCAAGCTCTGTCAGGTTGGATGGGGAGTGTCGCTGCACAGCTTTTTTCAGGTCTCCCATGAGATGTTTGATTGGTTTCAAGTCCGGGCTCTAGCTGGGCCACTCAAGGACATTCAGAGACTTGTCCCGAAGCCACTCCTGCGTTTTCTTGGCTGTGTGCTTAGGGTTGTTGTCCTGTTGGAAGGTGAACCTTCACCCCAGTCTGAGGTCCTGAGCGCTCTGGAGCAGGTTTTCATCAAGGATCTCTGAACTTTTCTCTGTTAATCTTTCCCTCGATCCTGACTAGTCTCCCAGTCTCTGCCACTGAAAAACATCCCCACAGCATGATGCTGCCACCGCCAGGTTTCCTCCAGATGTGATGCTTGGCATTAAGGCCAAAGAGTTCAATATTGGTTTCATCAGACCAATTAATCAATCAAATGTATTTATAAAGCCCTTTTAACATCAGCAGATGTCACAAAGTGAGAGAACCTTGTTTCTCATGGTCTGAGAGTTCTTTAGTTGCATTGAACTGAATTTACCACAGGTGGACTCCAATCAAGTTGTAGAAACATCTCAAGGATGATCAATGGAAACAGGATGCACCTGAGCTCAATTTCGAGTCTCATAGCAAAGGGTCTGAATACTTATGTAAATAAGGTATTTCTGTTTTTTATTTGTAGTACATTTGCTAAAAATTCTAAAAAACTGTTTTCACTTTGTCATTATGGGGTATTGTGTGTAGATTGATGAGGAAAATGTTTTATTTAATCAATTTTACAATAAGTTTGTAACGTAACAAATTGTGGAAAAAGGGAAGGGGTCTGGATACTTTCCGAATGCACTGTAGCTCTCCTTCACATTCACACAGTGCAAGCTAGGCTAATTACCTAACTGATATTAACGCTAACCAACTGCACTGAAATAATAATGAACAGCAGGGATTAACCTTCTCTCATTTCCAGAATCTTCTTTTAATAACTCCTATGCCGCTGGGAGAAGCCCTTGAAGCAATACACACAACCCTGACTCTAATGACAAACTTAGAGATTGCTGCTAGGGGAAAACCTAGCCTAGCCAAAACAAAGATGCACTCACCTTGTGCTAACCTCATTAGCAGGGAGAAAATGCTCTTTATATTGGATCTGTCGGCTATCTAAGAGCGTAATCCTGAGTAAAAACCCCTGTGTGAAAAGGTTGAGCAATACCTGGATTGTGGTGGTAGCTATGGTGTATTTGTTCAATATTCCAGAGTCCGGACGGAGTCTTTTTCAAAGCCACTGGACCCCACAAGCTGATGGACATATTGAATGTCATGACATATATTGAATCACATGAAAACAAAGTGGTGGTCAGAGTAAAACGTTCTCAGAACCTCCCTGCAACCTAAAAATAAACGTTCCCAGAACAGGCAAAAATGTTCACGTCTGTTCTCAGAACGTTTTTAAAAAACATACAGTTTTACCGGTCAGTAAACGTATGGCTTCGTTCCCACAACCAGTGTGAAACCAAAAACATATATTCCTATAACTTCAAAGGAACCAAATGTGCTTTGTTCGAAAACCACATGGTTTCACATGATTCCACATGTGAAAGGTTATGTGATCACGTGAAAATCCACGTGAAACTTCATGTGAAATATCATCACGTGAAGTGTTCCAAAACCACATACATCTGTGGAGATCGATGGTTGATCAAATGTTATCATGAACGATCAACGATCTGTCAAGCAAAGCCTGAGAGGACCGAATGTTTGTTTTTCTGCTTTTTTTCACCATTTACAAGGTAGGGAGAACCAGAGTAGTGCTAACCTCAGACACACAAGTAAATGTTATCGACTAGCCTTCTCTGCTCTGATATTCTATAAGAAGTGTCGTTACTCAAGCAGCAGGAAAGAGAGTAGAAAGAGGTGCCGCGTTTTCCGTACCAGTCAGCTGCGGCCGACTTCAATCACTGTTAGTATTTTAGCATTCCTATTAGTGTTAATATCAGTTAGGGCATTAGCCTAGCTTGCACTGTGTGAGTGTGAAGGAGAGCTACAATGCATTCTGAAAGTATTCAGACCCCTTGACGTTTTCCACAATTTGTTACGTTACAGCCTTATTCTAAAATTGATTAAATTGTTTTTCCCCCCCATCAATCTACACACAATACCCCATAATGACAAAGAAAAAAAACAGGTTTTTAGACATTTTAGAAAATGTATTAAAGATAAAAAACGGAAATATCATATTTACATAAGTATTCAGACCCTTTACTCAGTACTTTGTTTAAGCACCTTTGGATTACAACCTCGAGTCTTCTTGGGTATGACGCTACAAGCTTGGCACACCTGTATTTGGGGTGTTTCTCCCATTCTTCTCTGCAGATCCTCTCAAGCTCTGTCAGGTTGGATGGGGAGTGTCGCTGCACAGCTTTTTTCAGGTCTCCCATGAGATGTTTGATTGGTTTCAAGTCCGGGCTCTAGCTGGGCCACTCAAGGACATTCAGAGACTTGTCCCGAAGCCACTCCTGCGTTTTCTTGGCTGTGTGCTTAGGGTTGTTGTCCTGTTGGAAGGTGAACCTTCACCCCAGTCTGAGGTCCTGAGCGCTCTGGAGCAGGTTTTCATCAAGGATCTCTGAACTTTTCTCTGTTAATCTTTCCCTCGATCCTGACTAGTCTCCCAGTCTCTGCCACTGAAAAACATCCCCACAGCATGATGCTGCCACCGCCAGGTTTCCTCCAGATGTGATGCTTGGCATTAAGGCCAAAGAGTTCAATATTGGTTTCATCAGACCAATTAATCAATCAAATGTATTTATAAAGCCCTTTTAACATCAGCAGATGTCACAAAGTGAGAGAACCTTGTTTCTCATGGTCTGAGAGTTCTTTAGTTGCATTGAACTGAATTTACCACAGGTGGACTCCAATCAAGTTGTAGAAACATCTCAAGGATGATCAATGGAAACAGGATGCACCTGAGCTCAATTTCGAGTCTCATAGCAAAGGGTCTGAATACTTATGTAAATAAGGTATTTCTGTTTTTTATTTGTAGTACATTTGCTAAAAATTCTAAAAAACTGTTTTCACTTTGTCATTATGGGGTATTGTGTGTAGATTGATGAGGAAAATGTTTTATTTAATCAATTTTACAATAAGTTTGTAACGTAACAAATTGTGGAAAAAGGGAAGGGGTCTGGATACTTTCCGAATGCACTGTAGCTCTCCTTCACATTCACACAGTGCAAGCTAGGCTAATTACCTAACTGATATTAACGCTAACCAACTGCACTGAAATAATAATGAACAGCAGGGATTAACCTTCTCTCATTTCCAGAATCTTCTTTTAATAACTCCTATGCCGCTGGGAGAAGCCCTTGAAGCAATACACACAACCCTGACTCTAATGACAAACTTAGAGATTGCTGCTAGGGGAAAACCTAGCCTAGCCAAAACAAAGATGCACTCACCTTGTGCTAACCTCATTAGCAGGGAGAAAATGCTCTTTATATTGGATCTGTCGGCTATCTAAGAGCGTAATCCTGAGTAAAAACCCCTGTGTGAAAAGGTTGAGCAATACCTGGATTGTGGTGGTAGCTATGGTGTATTTGTTCAATATTCCAGAGTCCGGACGGAGTCTTTTTCAAAGCCACTGGACCCCACAAGCTGATGGACATATTGAATGTCATGACATATATTGAATCACATGAAAACAAAGTGGTGGTCAGAGTAAAACGTTCTCAGAACCTCCCTGCAACCTAAAAATAAACGTTCCCAGAACAGGCAAAAATGTTCACGTCTGTTCTCAGAACGTTTTTAAAAAACATACAGTTTTACCGGTCAGTAAACGTATGGCTTCGTTCCCACAACCAGTGTGAAACCAAAAACATATATTCCTATAACTTCAAAGGAACCAAATGTGCTTTGTTCGAAAACCACATGGTTTCACATGATTCCACATGTGAAAGGTTATGTGATCACGTGAAAATCCACGTGAAACTTCATGTGAAATATCATCACGTGAAGTGTTCCAAAACCACATACTTTCACATGTGAAAGGTTATGTGATCACTTGTGAAAATCCACATGTGAAATATCATC